GTTCTTCCGGTTTCTCCACTCTCATATATTTGCATTCTTATACTCAGAAAGTGCTCCAGTAATCGCCAAATTTTGGTAACAATAAAATTGAGCAACTACTAGTCTTTTTTTTACTTGAATGAAACACAATTACTCTCCTGCGATTAGATACCTTTTCTGAAACCTCCAATCACCGACACATATTCACTTATGTGATTGACCAATCGCTCAAGCTAAATCTCTTTTTATCCAGGTTACCTCCCATCAACTTAAGCCACATGCTGATTATACTTCCCTAGTGAGCTTGAGAATGTAATTTCCTCTGTCAGCAATTTACAAAGAGGTAGCAGGTTGTCCCTTTAATTGCCACTCACCTGACTCCAACTTGTTATTATAGGTTGAAGAAGAAAGATATGCATCAACCGCTGGAAGCAGATTGAAAGGATTCAGTGATTTACTCCTCTAATTCTCATCTTACGCATACTAAGATGATGATATAACGAGGCAGAACTTAACCAATCTACAGGATTGTAGTTATCCGTAGTTGATGAGTACGCAATGGACGCAGATGGTGTTCAATGTAATCATGAAAAGGGGTGAACTGTCCAGTTCCCCAACATTCAACTATCGGCATTATCAAAAATTCATTTTTCGAACTCCCTATTTACGGCGATAGATTGGTACGCTGTTGTTGAATGCCTAGTATTTGCGAGATCTCTCAAAGAGGCCATTCCTTTCAGTCACGGTTAAGGCGTGTTAAGTGATATCATCAACTGCAATATTCCCACAAACTTACCAAATTCTCCCACATTGATTGAACACTTTTACTGATTTTCTACTGAAAAATATGCCAACATTTGGATATTATTCCTAGGGAAAAATAGTCATTATGTCAAATCATTTGTCGTCCAGTTTGCAAATATGGCGCAAACATAGGCAAGATTTGTCAGCCGATAAGTCTCTCAACTAGACAAGTCAGCTTTGTTATGGTAGAATTTAAGTTGTCTTAAAGAAGTATAGCTAGAAGAGAACTGACTTAGTTATCATTAGACACTAAAATGGAAATACAAGTATGGCAACGTCTTTTTTCCAATGAATGCTCAGTTTATAAAACGCAGCAGACTGCTAAGTCAGATGTATGACAAGAAAGTACGATTTCGTGTTTGTGTCATTCATCTAACTATTTTGCTGGATTAATAAAAATTATAGATATAACTTTCATAAAAATGTCCGAATTGACTCAGAGCATATTGTAGAGTATGAATTGACTTTCAACAGAATCAATGGCATTGGTGCGAAATTTCGACATACTGAATTTTAATTGGATCGTTTGATGAAATAATTCATGCAGTTGAAGCAGGGCTACTCTTTAAATTATCAGAACTTCCTATTCTCCTCTTTTAACCCCCCCTCTTTTATTTACCTCATGTTTAGGCTATTTTTCCGAATTTAATTTTGATTTTAATTGTAATTTTGCAATCATGGTAAAAGTAAATAGACAGAAATTAAAATATCTATAAATTCACATAAATCCTGTACTTTTTTCGTTTTATGTGAGCAAATTAGGACTTGCTCCCTCCCTCTCTCTCTTTCTCTACCTCTCAAAATTTAAGAGTTCCGAAAGATCGAATGAGCTTCAATTTTTGCGTGCGTGTACTTAAATGACCTCATTTAGGTGAACATGTCGCACTAAAATGAAATAGACAGATATTTTTTGTCACTTTGCACAGCCCGCCAGACGCATTCAAAGGTTACAAAGCGAAAAGCAAACATACCGTCGTCTCTGCATCGTATGAGCGATTAACACCAATCCTATCGAAACTTTTCAAATTAAATCACTTGTTCTAGGGGTAAAGCTGTGCATTGCCACCGAGGATAAAATGAAAGTTTAGATTGGTTTGAGTCTAAGTGTGCTCTGATTTGTACTGAAAATTTTTATCTAATACCCCGTGAAAGTTTGAGGAGGTAGTGAAATTTGCATAAAACAGGTGAACATGGCGGAATCCCGAGGTCATATCCTAAAATTTGAAAGTGGTACCCTTTATTAAAGAGCGGGCAAAAAGATACACTAATAAACGGGTGTAAATTAGGTGTCAAAATGCACAATTTTTGTCACACTGGCTCATCCTGGTTTGTCCTTTCTGAGACTATTCTACTGCCTTCTGTGTCCATATACTTTAATTTAATTAGAGCACATAAAACAGGTTTGTGATATGCCATGGGTTATTACTAATATAGTTTTATTTGGTAGACGTTCGAGTAGACAAAAGGGCAAATCTATCTCGTATTTATAGCTAAATGTCTTTTTTTAAAAATCATAACTGAATTATCCACCAGCTTTCGCAACCAATGGGAGCGGGGTGACGAATAGGTTAGCCAAGTAATGAGAACCACTAGGAAATATGTTCAACCTTAATATCCATAATCCAAAACCTCATAATTCAGCACAAAAAGCTTTAAACAATAAGTTAAATTGATTATTAAAAGGTTCAAACTAGTGTAGAAAATACTTTAAATTTAAATGCTTGCTCTACTTAAAACATTAAGTAGGAATGCTTTAATTTATCAGAAAGTGACTTGAGTGTTTAGAAGCTGTTTAACACATTTGTGTCACATCCAAACAAAGTCCACGGGCCTTTGTCGTTGATGCACTGGACCTTTCTACTGATTTTTCATGCTATGGCTTTAAATGTAGTTTTTAAGCAACCGTACTCATTGCCTAACAGGCAATCATTCATTTTCTTCTTTTCAAAATCCATTAAAATGAGTGAACTACAGTAACATTAACTGTATTTAGAGTTAAACGTATCTTTATTTCTGTCAACAAATCCAAGACGATCTGAAATGGTTGACTTGCGATGCGGTCTCGACTACAATATCCACAGCCAACCCAATAATGCGTATGCATAGGCGTTTGAACATGGTTACCCGAAAATTAATGAAGAGGTGACTGAAGTCTAACGATTATTTTGTATTTAACGCTAATTTCTTTGCCAATAAATGGGGAGTGGATTCCATCCACCTCTAAACGGATCTAATGACATCAATGACTTGATTTATTCCGTTTATTCGATCTATGTAACTCCTGTCCACCTAACATTTAATCTTTTTTTGATATAAATTATAACGCTGGATTTTTTTAAGTTGATTTGTTTTAAATGCATAGAATCTCAATTCTTAACAATAGCACTTGTACATGATACTAGGATCAGCTGTTCAATGAAAACCTGCACAAGGACTATCTTAAACGCGAATATTGGAAATCGTTTTTGCCAACTCACATAAGATTGACTCACTGAAATAAAGTACATTAAAAGAGCCTTCCTAGGTGATTTCTCCCGTAAAATGAGGAGGGGACAGTGAAAGAGATCCTTGATCATTTACCAATTAGGCTGCGGGTATTGCCAAATCTCGATTCACCACTGTAAACATCTTCATACTATGTACCGCAAAGAAAAAAGGACCAAACAAAGATTTATATGGCGGATATGATCTTCCTTGCCTTGGAATTTCGAAACTCCGAAGACCCTGCACAATCATTAGTTTGATCTTTTCTAAGACCTAGAAAATAGTTTAAGGTATATCCACGTACTTTAGTGAGGGTTTCGCTCGAAAGAAATTATTATTATCAACTTAAAAGTACAATTGCAATTTGTTGTTAGTTATTCATACATCCACTCTTTTATAAACATGTTAAATAGATGACGTAATGTTAACGATTAGGAAAAGTCTGTGCGGTATGCGGATATTTTGAGAAACTAGTCAGGTTAAAGAAGTATAACTACCTTCAACTATGACGCCTTAAAATGAATTACTTTTCGGTTCCTCAAGTGGATCAATAATGGAAAGGTTATTTTTTCGGTTTTGTTACTTGATTGACGTTTTGCCAAATTGAAATAACGTGATAGTTGCTGAAATTTTCAGAAATCTTTCATGGAAAATAATTTTCCACGCTTTATTGATTTAGTTAATAGTACTTATATTTATCTTTCCATTGAACGTTTTAACTTTTTGTCTTTTGGCGTTAAATTAGGCCTCCACAGTCGTAACATTCCAAGTTAAAGCTTGCAGTGATTGCGATTCACCCAACTGCAATCATTCTGCTGGGAAAAAATGTTAAAATGGTTGAAATCAGAGAATAAACCTTGATTAATGGATAATAAACTAACTTAATATTAGTGATTATAAGTAAAATAAACGAGAACTCGCTGAAAAATTCTAAAATGTGTGAAGAACTACTGAGAGCTCCCCAAAGACCCTGTGGTTTCCATGATTAAATTGAGGGAATGAATATGGAACTGAGATAGAAAAGAAAATATTAAAATATCCGACACTCCAAATGAAGAGAAGTATGACGAAGATAAGGTGAGATTAGTAACTTTAATAGGTGAAATATGCTTACTTGTTGTTCTTCATTTTTAAAATAAATGTAAATCTGAAATAAAGTTTTTTTAAAATTTTAACAAATTATCAAATTTGGTGCATATGCTAGAAAATGTTCGCTGAAGGATTTTGCACACGCTCTCAAATGAACAAATTGAAAACAGGTTAATCGACGTTATTATTCAGAGTGGGAGAGGAAAATTTCAAATTAAGTCTAATGACATATAAAGGAAAATGTGTTCTGAAAGTGAGGACAAAGGACTTGACCATCGTATGAGTATAATTTTAAATGACAAAGAGAGGGCTTTGCATTCATAATACGAATAGCTTAAAGTAAACGACACTATAAACTGAAATTTCATGATAGGATTGAGCCTTAAGAATAAAAATAAGTAAATTGCATTCATACATACAAATATAATGAAAACACCTATTAAAAGTTTTCAATTTCAGAATCCGCTAAATGTTATACGCTAAAATAAATAAAAAACTTTTTATTGATATGGCATGTAAAATCAAAATATTTGTTAATCTGTGTTTGTTTTAAATCATTATCTTATTGTTATACCCTTGATCAGACAGAGCGGTAAACTTGACTTTCTTTTTGTCTCTCAGATTCATCAGATAAGCGAATGTAGATGGGTAGTCAACATGCCAAACCTAAAAAGGGAAGTTCGGATACTGTTGACAAGAATATAATTGCACGAAGTGGTAAAGGTACTTTAAACGATAGTTTTCGCATATTTTTTTTGTAATTTGGTTGTATTTAAGTACAATCTGTAATTTAAATATAATTATATATTTGATGTGCTTGAAGATATGTAGAGCCATTTTCAACTTTAGGAAAAAGGACTAAATGTACAGAAGACGGGACCTCTGTTTCTTCTCTGGATTTAACTCAGTCACTTGATGGAGATGTACTCGCAATATCTGATTATGACCCTCCATTGAATTGCACTGGGTCTACAATTGCCGTGAGAAAAGGTAAGCTTCAGGAAGTATAAGCAGAATGCTATGGATCTTTATGTATATATTGACTTTTTCCCATCACTTTTAAGGCGACTCGTTACTTGTATACGGCCAGAGCCCTTCAGGTGGTGATTGGTTGGATGTTTTATGTCGGCGCACTGGTGAGCGCGGTTGGATACCTGCTTCCTGTGTCTTTGATTCCTCCTCTTATGTTTCGAATTCCTCTCCCACCGCCTCTACAATAGCATCCTCTATGGATCCTCTGATTGCCACGGACTATCCAGTCTCCTGTCCCAGTTTAATAGGAGAGCGTTGGTACCATGGTGCTATCCATCGGAGTTATGCTGAATATCTCCTCAACAGTGGAATTACTGGCTCATTTCTCGTGCGTGAATCTGAATCGAGTTTCGGTAAACTTACCCTCAGTCTTCGATCAGACGGACGAATATTCCACTATCGAATTTGTACTGACGAAAATAATCAGGTGATTCCAAGTTTTACAATTTTATTCCTTTTTCTCGCTCTTACTTAAGTCTATTGTCATTCGTATTAGACGGCAATGAATTGGAAATAATTGCAAGATAGGAGTTTTATTACAAGCTATCGTGTGTTGGATTAATTTAAGTCATGTTTATGACAACCAGGCGTCAAATTAGAATGTAACGATCTACCAGTTTTTTGAAGATCCGTATTTGAGAAGCTTTTGTTCATAATAAATTTGAACCTCGTTTAAATTCTATTACGTTTTGGTAAACGTTTTTGCATACCTGCTTAATGGAGGATTCGGTTATTTGTTCCACAGATTTTAGGAAAAATAATCGGTAAAAAGTGAACTAAAAGGGGTATAGTTTTAGAGAAGAATAGCTTAATTTTTAGTGCAATCTGTTTTCTGGAGAAGTAACGTTGCTTTCTTTAAGATTCAGTGTTTGCGTTGATTGTTCATGCCTAGCAACACGAATTTTAATTGAGTGACTATACTTGCAGGGCTTATCGTAGTGAGGTAAATCTCTTCCATTAGTTTGTAGACTTCATCGAATTTAGTTTGGCATTGCAAAAGCTGTTTTCTCACTTGATCTAGGGTGTGTCGTATGTTATGTTGAATTTTAGTCGAATAATCATCATCATCATTTCTAATTCACCATATTTCTTTACGCCAGCTCTTTGATACGAATATGGATTCGTACTTGTATATTTTCCTTTCTGATTGCATTGGTTGAAAAGGTATACTGACTCATTATTTTTTCGTCAGCACAAACTGAAAAATATTTAATTCACCTAAAAACTCATTTTGGCCATTAAACGAAGCATCAATAATCAGTGCAGCGTTCACTGTACTCCAATTGCGAATAATTTAATCTCCATCTTGCCTTGTCTTTTGTCTCAAGTTGTTAATTAATTTGTTAAATCTTAACCTCCATTGTATTTCACAGAATGGGGTTAGGGGGGGGGGTCTAGACTTACTCTCACGTAGGTTGTTTCTGACCCTATCCTTTCTCCATTCTCAGTTCCACTGATAATTTGTCGCACGTCTTTTCTGCGTTTCTTCGTCACACGCCCTCATAGACCTCTATGCTTAACATAAGCTTGCCACTGTTCTGTTTACTATATACCTTTCCTCTTAAACAATTACTCATTTTCAGTCGCTCTACCTAATTGACTGCCTCGTTTCTATGATGTGTGTTTGGTGAGGGCCATGATGAATCCCAATTGTTGGCTTCGTCCAAAGCTGACTGCACTATTTTATTAGTACTCATTACCTAAACCAGCTGAAGTGCTGAATATTTGCAATTAGGGATAGTTGTTTGCAATGCTGTAGGATAATCAAGTCTATATATTGTTCTCAGAATTACGTCTTATTTACTTCCTTTCATGGTCTAGTATTCTTTTGTTATACGCGAACCTTTATTAAGGGTAGGGTTTTGGTATTTTGTTGATCTCTATGGCGGCATCTCCTCGATACACTCATCGGAAGGATATGATTCCTAGTTTTGTCAGATTATATTTATTTGTAGATGAGTCTGGACACAAATGAGTTCATGTGATTTCTTGCCCATCCTCACTTGTTGGTGGTGCGTATTAAAACCACTCCACTCGTTGTCCTCTCCCGCAAGTATTTAGGTAATTAGATTTTTTATGCGGTTGTAGTTCAGTGCCTAAATTTCGTCATTTCACCTTTCGAAAACTTGTGGTTATCAAAATGTTTTCGTTTGCGTAAATTCCCGCTCACAACTGATGTAGTCATGGCAAAAATGTACATATCCAGTGTGTTATTCTTTCATGATGTTCCTTGCAGAAATTGTATTCAACAATTCTGCGCTGAATATCTTTAATCATCTCCCAAGGTGTTTATAAAATGACAATCTTGATCTTCTTTATGATAAAATATGATATTCTTTAACTTAAAATACCAGAACTCTACCATATTCTAGTCTTAAATGCATTTCTTAATTCTCAAATGATTGAAGTCAAATCATATAGTTTGCAATGCTATAGTTCGCAATAATTACTCTAGAAGATTATTATTTATACTAAAATCTGATACCGAGCTCTCAAAACTAGATTTACTAGATCAATTGCAAGGCAAATATGACACTTCTTTAGGGTATGATTGGACCACGTGACCTTCAGCGTACCAATTCCGATCAGAGATTTGTTTTCAAGACGACATAGTAGCAAATAACATTAACAATTCCATTTTGCTAATTTCAGAGCGTTTACTGTAGTTTGTAGCTTTTGCGGTGGAAATTTAGTCTGTTGTCATTTAATTTGTATATAAATTGGACGTGCTCCAAAAGTTCTCATTTGTTTTCCCAACTCCTTACAGTTTTACATAAATGATACAAGTCGATTCGCTACTGTCTCCGAGTTGGTGCAGCATCACGAGAAGGTGGCTGACGGCCTAGCCTGTCCCCTCCTCTACGGCGTATCCAAACGTGACCAAAGTGGTGGTAATCGTAGTGGTGGTGCCCTGGATTCTGACTACGATGCCTGGGAAATTGACCGCACCGACATCATCATGAAACACAAATTGGGTGAGTCTGCTCCTCCCACATGAGTCACTTGGGTTAATAGCTTATGGAATGATTTCAGTGGACTATTAGAGAGGTCATATATGATGACGTAGAAATAATGCGCTTGTGTGTGTATGTGTGTGTGTGTGTGTGTCCTAGCATTTAATAGGCACCTTCAGTATATCCATGCTTGATTCCATATTACTCCTGTGTTTTGGTTGTTCATTCTGATAGTTTAAAGCCGATCAAGAAAGCAGTGAGCGAATGGGAGAGCCACGTTGAAAGGTCGATTACTTCATTGGTCTTGGAAATCGAAATGCATCTCCGACATCTGTAATGCCGCGTTTACTACTCTTATCAGAGGTGATGGGCTCTCGGTACTCATTGGTACACATCTAATGAGCAGAATGGTCAATAAAGGTAGTGCACAATTCGAATGTCTCACCAGCCAGGCTCCATGATGCTATCCTTCTATGTAAAATGAATATTTGACGTTACTCTATTCTATGCTTGCGAGTTGTCAACACGTCTTGTCTTCAGCCACCTTGTTGTTTTTAAGCTACTGTTATGAGCACTTTCAAATTAGTCTTTGGGTCACTTTTCGGCTGAATGATTTCCTCCAAAGGAACTCCAAAATAGGTTTTTATGGCGAAATTCCACTTTCCTTGGATTTTCTTAGAGGTATTGTAGATGAAGAATTAATTTGAGCTCAAAGGAAAGGCCGATTTTCTGCAGCGAGTTCGGGTGATTCTACTGTGCTCTTTCCAAAAGAATAGTTCCATTACTATATCCATTTCATCGATTCATGGCCAGTTTGTCCGGTATTTCGGCATTTGTGTGTGTGTGTGTGTGGTCGTTGTTGCTTATCGCAGTTGCGCTTCCTTTATCGATTTCTTTCCCATCATTTATTGTTTTTTATCCATTCTCATCATAGGATGCATTCTCCTACTAAGGTATTTAAACTGCCACTCTCCTGGTTCCTTCTGCCATCGTCAAGTTTAAAGATGGCTTGTTAGGTATGATGTTTGTCATTTCAGACCGAGTGTATAATTTCTAGTCTGACTTTAGGCCAATCATGGATTGACGGACTTTGCTATTTTCCCATCCGGTGAAATGCTGAAGGAGACATTTCGCATCTAGCTGGAGAGAATCCCACCGGTTCCCCCCCCCCCATCTTCCCCTCCCCCCCTCTCTCTCGTCTTATGTCTGAGTCACATGCATTTCCTTCCGCTGTCGCACACTCACTTACATAGTTTGTGTATGTTTAGCCTATCCTGAAGGCAACATATTTGAGACAGTTATTGTAGTCATATATTTTAGATATCAAGATTGATTTATTACTAACAGTTTAAGGATAAGTAGTCAGGGACGATTGATGGGTCGGCTACATTTTCTTTGCCATATTTGATATCAGCTTAAATATTTGTTTCTCTATGTTTCATCTTCAGTGCAATATATCATTTCTAGGGTGGGGGCTATATAAGAGAGCTTAAACACCTATAAACACCAGAGTAGATGTCATTTATCTGAATTAGGAGATGGAATGTGTACTAGGGATCATTACGTCCAAAATAGGTTGAAAGTGGAAAGTGATAAATCCAATCTTAAGTTTGCATAATCTTGACAAGTAAACATTGGAGTCATACTGAAGTGGAGATTGGTGTTGCGCAGAAAGTAGCGTGAGGAGCGTATTGCTAACAATGAGAAATTAGGATTTCACCGATTAGTGATTAGAGTCAGTGGTTGGTACTACCAATCCCATACAGCCTTGAGAGCTCCCTCACATCTGTTGAGGAATAAGGGTGTTACGTCAGGAAGAGTATTGAAAATTGTTCAATGCTTCTAACTGGGTAGATTCTACCAAAACGTCTGCCTAGTATATTAAGGCTTAGTTGAAAATAAAGCCCCACTTTTCCTTACCTACCTTAGGCTTGGAAAATTGTGCAAATGTATTGTATCGAAATTGGCAACAGTATCGACCATTTCATATTGGGCTTACGTGGTGATGTCACAGGTTAATTCCACCAAGAAAAGTTTCATGGTTAGGATAGGTTTTGAATTTTAACTCACATGTATTCGAAAAGCCATTTTATATTAAATTATAAATTGAGTTATCTATCAGCTCTTATCCTTAGTTGAAAGGTTGTTTTCATAGAGTGCTGGTTAATATCCACAGGTTTGAAACCGCCCACAATCCATTATCTCGTGGTCACTCCACTGTCTCCTCAAATTTGTCAGTTCATTATTTCTCACCCTCAGTTGTACTTTAAAAGGTAACTCCTTTATTATTTCCGGTAAATTTACTGGCTAAGGCTTACTGCGGATTCTAACAGGTTATGCATGGCGCATTTGGCTAATTGCGTGAGTAGCTAGTTCACTTTATCTTCAAAATTGTCAACCGTTTCTTTCTCTCTCTCTCTCATCATAGAAATTGTACTTTAGAACAGTAGCTTTTACCCTGACTTTCTCATACACTTTGTGCTCTACTGGAATTCCACTAATGTCTCCTTATTTACCTAGTCACTGTTCTGCAACGCTTAGCATTGGATGTGAATTAAAGCAAGCGTCTCTCCAGCAGCGCATTTATTTACGGTTTTGCTTCCACCACTCCCCTAGAGTCCATGGCTTGACTCATCAGAATTGCCTAACAGCTCTTGATGATTCCCCTCTCAGTCCCTCTACCTATCAAAGTGTGTCCTACTCTACTATATACATCTCACTCTCCCTCTGCCTTTTTTTGCTTCATTTCAGGTTCGGGACAATACGGCGTTGTGTATGAGGCCATCTTCAAGCCCTATGATGTTACAGTGGCTGTAAAGACGCTCAAGGTATGCAATCCACCATTTTGTTTACGCCATACGTCGCTTTTTTGTCCTTTTTTCGATCTATGTGAAAGCTGCATCATAGATGGTATATAACAGACAATATAGTGCGCGAATCACGTCATCTACGTAGTGAACCATGTTTAATAATGCATATTAGACGAGGAACTATATCTACTCTGGGTATTGTAAGGAATATTTGCTTTAGTCTTTATTGAGTAATGGCACTTATGTCAATTCCGTATCGCGATTAATTTTCAGAATGTGTTTTTTCCCATCCCCTTCTCTATATTGCTGTGTGTGCTGACTATGTCAAAGTTGTCAAACCTCTCCCATCACCATCGTCCCGAATTGACATATTTATGGCTGTTTATGATAGAACGATCTAAGGTGACACACTATATGTATATATGCGTTAATATAAACGAGTAACCACTCGCGGAAGATAGTTAGATCTTAAAATTGCGCAAGTCCTCGAGTTACGACCTAGATGAGCCATGAGTAGGTCAATAGAGGAGACTATCTTCCCCTTTACTAATCTGCGACTCCCTTTCTTAAAAGCTAAGATGGACGTGTTTGTTTATAAGGCAATAGGGTCAAATGAATGAGGGGGGGGGGGGGGGGGGGGAGAGGTGATTTGGTTGGGGTTGAATAATAGGCTGTGGAATAGCATCCAGCATTTAGATGAAATCACATTTAATGCAACAGATTATAGTTCTTCGGGCCAAGGCAGGCTACTGCATGCTTATTAAGCCATATCTGGATTATAATGTTTGGGCGTGGTCGAACGTCTTTATGAATTGGCTTCTCGTGGAGGAGGAAAAATCGCTACTTGCCAGTGAGCATAAAATTGTTCATCACATGATAATTAGATTAAGGAGTTTATTAGATGATTTTTTTCCTAGCTCGTTAAGGAGGAGAAGGAGGGGGTGAGGGGGAGAGAATGTTTCAACACTTATTCTCTTGGACAATGTGAAATGACACCCTGGAATCTCCGCGTGTTGAAGGGCAACATTTTGCTATCAATCTATTGGCCATGGCATTTGGGTATTTCGCTTAGTGAATACTCACCAAAAGGTATTGTACCAATTATCTCTTATGATGACTGTTACGTCATGACTTATGCAAATACCTTTCTTGTGCTTATTTCGACTTGTTAGGGCCACGCGATAACCTCAGATTACTTAGGAGCAATAAAAAAAGGTCTGCACGCCAAGGGGTTTTTGGATTGAATAAAAATATAAGCATTGGACATGGGTCAGTCACCCTATCATCGCACGATCAAAAAAGGTTAATCATCAGCCATAATCCCCCCCCCCTCTCCCCTAACTTCTTCCTACTTCACCTAATCAGAATCATAGTATCGTTTGTATCATATTTGCAAAATGTTAAGTGTGTGTGCGTGTGTGTGCTGGTGCTTCTGCTGTAGTGATATATACTTTTAGCAGGGCAGAATACTACTTTTAGTTAATGTTTGTTGTTTTAGTTCTGAGTTGCAGTAGCTCCCTATTTCAATAAAATGTTGACGTTCCAGGACTTTTTGTTGATTTCAAATTGCTTGAGTAAGGTATTTACTGTGATTTATTGTGGCGTTGGATCTATTTGCACTCACCTCTCGAGTAGGAATCAATACATAAATATTGAAGCTTTTGGTGGGGGTTAAATAAATGCAAGTTTAAAGGCTTCTTATTCTTATTACTGTTTGCTTTTATGAGCAAGCTTCAATTGAAATTCAATGGTAATTGTCTTACGGACAAAAAGTTGTAATGATGCAGGCAGTAAAGCGATTGCATACAAAGGATTGTCTAATTTTATATATATATATATATATATATATATATCAAATGCCAGGCTTTATGATGGTTATCATTAGCCCTTTAGTTGACTTTAGGCTTCACAGAGGAAGAGGAATATCAAATCGAAAAAAGTCAAGGGGGGGTGAACAAAAGAGTGTTTAAAGATGTTAAAAAGACAGACAGACACAAAGGCAGAGAAAAGGTAGGGTAAGTTTGGTGGAAGTGATTGAATATGACATACAGTGGGGTCATGGTAGTTTGAAGTCAGAAGTCACCTGCCCATAAATAGACTTTTTTGCCGTATGAGTATACGTTGCCCAGGGTGCACCACGTGGAGGTAAGTCTA